GATTGGAGCAATGAAGAGATACCATAAGCACACTAAGAAGTGCTAAGATATGACTGCCACAGATCTTAAGGCTCCTTCAACAAATTTTAATGGTTATAAGAACAGGAATAATTCTACCCTATGAAACAAATACTGTTATTGAATATGGAAATAAACACAGTCAGATTTCTATCTTCTATCATCTCAATTTTATCAGATGTATCAAGTGAAGAAAATTTAAATGTTGTATTTTAGCTTATTTTTGTACTCATTTAGATATTTAAAAAGGCTCAAACATATGGACACTTTATGTGAAAGTGTACAGAGAAATTTGTATTACTCATCAAAATGGAGTGGGATCACCCCATAGGTATGCATTCTGCATATACTATGGAATGCTGGATTAAACAGGGAAAGGAAAACATATCAGCATGTTGACAATAATAAGGAACTGGGGAAACTAAGTCAGAGGTGTTGTGGTGCTGAAACTTTTTTGAGGGAGAAAAAGCCATTGCATTCCATAGAGGGTTGCTAATTGAGAAGGTGGACAGGCTCTTTTTAGAGGTAAATGATGGGAAGAGACTTTAGCTTATACATTAACATATATTTTCCTTTATTTTCTGAAGCCGTGTGAGTTTGGGGTGGTAAGAAAGACCTACACCCTATTTAAGTGCTTGCTGGGATCCCCGGGAATATTATTTAACCTGCTGTTACAAGCATGAAGGTGGCAAAATTCAAAAAGAGCTGTCAAGAGGAAGATGGTGATACCAACATTTCTTTTGTAGTGTGTGTCTACACAGAGATCTGCTGTCATCTAGATGTCTGAATGCAATCAAAAACCAAAGCAGGTATTGTTTAGGAAATGAAGGAGACAGTCATCAGTTATCATGATGCTGCCAAGCAATAAAATGCTTAGGGCACCACTTGATGAGGTAAGTTAAACCTTTTGTGCATGGCAAGTCCACACTTCCAGAGGTTTGAGTCACTCTGTGAGATGTTTTTTCTGTATCTCAATAGTGTTTATTTTTCTGTGAATCACATTCCTTTCCTTACAGCAGAGATCTGGAGATTTACTGCTGCTCCCAGGTTTTCTGCTGAAAAGGTGCCATGTTTCTAAAATGAAAGTGGCTGTTTATGAAAAAAAAAAAACTATTTACAGACATTCTCAAACTGCAGATAGCGTATTGCAGAAAATAACTTCCTGCGTCTCTCTGCAGTCACTTAAAGTATTTCTCTGCCCAGCTGCCACAGAAGTTACTTCTTTAACCCTTCTTCCATCTCTAGCTTGAATCCGTTTATACTTCATACAAATCTGATGTCCTTTCTCCTTTTATAAAGCTGCTCAGGTACACAGCAGAGGAGATAAACCCTCAAATTTCCTCAGATTTAAGGCAATCAACTTCTCCATTTTCCTGGTACTTTACCATACCCAACCACAGCAGTTAAGATTGTGGAACATACTAGGAAAAGCTCCAAAGGGCAATTAGCCTGGGAAGCTCTCAGTAGGACAATGGGCAATTTTCTTTCTGCAAGCTGGGGCATGCCAGAGCCAGGTCCTGTAGACAGTGGTGTAGAAACTGGGGAAAGAGAACCATCAGTGTCCATGTGCTGAAAATTTCTGCAAAAAAAACCAGTCTGACTGCAAGACATTATTCTGAGCCAATATAGTCAAGAAGGGAGTTAAGGTATTTATTTATGCTAAAAGCTAGAAAGGTAATCTGTCTGACACCTCTGAACTTTATGTTTTATAATTAAAGACGCTTGAGAGTCTCCTCATTTGATAATGTAGTCCAGATGTTTAAGGACTTTAAGGAAAAATATTAGAAGACTTGCAACTATGTCATGAAAGACCAGGAGTTCTGTGGCAGTCCAGACATCAGTAGTGCAGGGATGTTTTGGTTTGGTTTTGTTTTTTTTTTTTTTTCAAATAAAAAAGAAAGCTTTAAAAAAGATATTTCAACTCAGCATTATGCTGTACTTTATTATGCACTCCATAATTACACTTTATAGGTTCAAGAAGAAAACATTTACTTGCAAAAACTTAATCCAGAATGAAAGTAATCCAAATATATAAAAATTAATAGTATGACTGAAATTTTGCTCTCAGTAACTTCTTTTGAGACTATGAACTGTGACATAAGTGAAGAAAGTACTATTCCTGTAAAAGATTCCTGGTTGGGGTGTTTTTTTTTTTTTTTTTTCCAGGATGGATTTAATTACTAAGGAAAATAACCAAGGCTTATATCCTAATCATGCTTGTAAGCGTTATTTTATATTAGAATTTTCATTTGGGCACTTAAAAGAACTGTGACATTAGATACACCTAAAAATTTTACCAATAAAACTGATTCTTTTAATGGATTTCACCAGGTCATAACATTGTAAATTATCTTTTTTAGAGGAACTTGTCAGGTCATTGAAAAATATTTTGTTACACTAAATGTATTTGTGACAATTCATGCTAGAAAATTGTACTCTTCCCTAATGCAGCTGTAAGGCTTAAAGAGTAGACTAGGCTGCTGCCTGAGAAGTTAAAAAAAAGCCCAAATTGCTATGCCTCAAATGTACTAGCAGGTCTGCTGCTAGCCAGCTCAAACAGCAAAGAGATAGGTGACAGAAAAAATGAGACCAGAGGTCAGAAAATATGTCAGAAATTGAATTAATAATTATGTGTTTTGAAGCAAAATGGATGAACTGTTACAAGCGCCTGGAGAGATTTGTTGAAGGGCAAGACACATGTTCATCTTTACCTGATTGTGAAAGATCACTTGGTTAGGGGGACTGGACATGGTGAACTTCAGCGGTCTCTTCCAGCCTCAGCCATCCTATGATTCTGTGACCTGTCAAAAGGGGCTAAATGACAGATGATGAAGCTTGTGCACCAGGCTCCCCGACTATGGAATAGCCTCTTCCAAGATGGTAGCAGGCTGAATTTCCTGCTGAATCCCTTCTTGGTAGCACCCCAGCAGGCAGGGGGGTAGAGGCCAGGCACCAAGGTGGTTCTGGCAGGGCTTAACTGGGAGTGTGAGATGGACCAGTGTGGAGCCAAGGGGCTGTCTTGCTTATGGTGTCCTGCCTCAAACACTGGCATTTCAAGAGAAGGGAGAACAGGGCAATTACATCCTATGACTTCCTCTTAGTACTCCTCCAGCCTTTGACAATTTTAATCCTTGAGGTCTTCCTGGGCATGTGGTGGTTTGCCTGTTTAATAATCTACAATGGATTTCTTTTCCATGTTATTTTCCAGTTTCTCTGGAAAAGTGTACTATGTGCACCCACAACATTCTTGGCAAAGTGTTTTCTAATTTTATTATGAGTTGTAAGAAGAGATATGAACTTGATCTGGTTTTAAGCCTAGATCTCATTAGCTTAATGTGTTGTTCACCAATTATTGGACAAAGGCAGTGTAAGTCATCCAAATCTGATTTTGCACTTCATTGAGGATTTTGGAGGCCTTTTCCCTACCTATCTTATATTATTTCTTTTCTGAGATGAGCAGTCCTGAACTATTTAACTTCTAAGATTTTAAATTAATTTTTTTAGAGCATACCATATGCTCTTATCTTGGTCTTTTCTAGTTCTTGTTGATCCTATCTGTGACAGAGGCCAGAAGTGCAGAGAGTAAACTAGGGATGGGTGAAAAATGGATTTCTATGATGCTGAGCCGACAAATGGAATTATGGATTATGATTCACTTAGTCACTGACAAGCAACATCATTTTATACACAAAGCTGTTACTGGGTTTCCCTGTGTGCATTACTTCACTACATTACCAACACTGAATTTCACACACAAATTGTGTGTGAAATTGTGCTATCCCTCCCATCTCTGGGTAAGCACATACCCTAACCATCACCTTAGAGAAAAAACCCCGGTGGGTATCAATGTAGACACGTAGACCTCATGTTATTTTAAACAATTTAAACTAGAAAAAATGACAAAAAGTGATGAGTTGACTTCAGGATAATCTCTGGCCCTCTCACATATCAGCATATATGTAGCCAAACAGAAAATGAACCCAAAATGGAACATAGTCTAGGGAACATTTATGAAAGCACAGCATCACGAGCTGGTTGAGCAAGGTGATTGTCCTGCTTTTCTCTGTGCTGGTGTGGCTTTATCTTGCATCCTGGGTGCCACAACATAAGAAAGACATGAAGTTCTTAGAGAGCATCCCAAGGAGCACCACAAAGACAATGAAGTGTGTAGAGGGGAAGCTTTATGAGGAACAGCTGAGGGGATTTGGTCTGTTCAGCCTGGAGGAGACTGAGGGGAGACCTCACTGCAGTTACAACTTCCTTGGGAGGGGAAGCAGACAGGCAGGCACTGACCTCCTCTCTCTGGTAACCAGGAATAGAACCCAAGGGATTGGCCTGAAGTTGTGTCAGGCAAGGTTTAGGTTGGATATCAGGAAAATATTCTTTACTCTGAGGGTGTTTGGGTACTGGAACAGCTCCCCAGGGATATGGTCACAGCACCAGCCTGACAGAGTCCAAGAAGTGTTTGGACAATAGTCCTGGGTGCATGGCACACTTTTGGGGATGGTCCTGTGCAGGCCCAGGAGCCTGACTCGATGATCCTTGTGGGTCCTTTCCAAGTTGATATATTCTATGATTCTATAATTCCATGACTACTGACCCTGACTGTCTGTTCCCAGTTTCCTCCAATGCCCTGTTCCAGGATGGGGGTGCGACAGGCTCTGACTGCTAGGCTACTTCAGAAATGCATAGAAATTAAAAAAATATATATGTATTGTTGCACCTATTGGGCAAGGAGAAGGATTAAAGTTAGACAAAATCTCATTAAACTACTTTTAAATACTTTTATAATTTGTGTGAAGGGTCTATGACAATGCCAACTTCTGATATATATGTATCTATCCTGTAAAGAAATCTGAAAAAAACTGAAAAAAAATCCACAAAAACAATGAGAAACAGATTACTTCTATTTCATATTTCGGTTTCCCTGCCCTCGTCTATGCTTGTAAGTTTTTCACGCATGGCACATCCAAACACGGGAATGAATCTTAAATCATGTACTTTTAATTTTTTAAATTTTTTATCATTATATGTACAAAAAAGTTCAAGCACATTAATAGGTTAAATTTCTATACAGTAATTTAAAAAAATAACACAAAACGCAATCTCCCCTCCCAACCCTGAAAACAAAGAGAAATCTTTACATTCTTGTCTTTGCAGTAAAATTACATTAACTACATAGTAATGCTTACAAGTAAGCAAGTTGCCCAGGGCCCATATTCCCCAAATTGAACATAATATGGACATGAACTTCTCAATAGCTTCACAAATTGCAATGTATATTTATTTTTATGTCTTTATTTATATGTATATATGTATATGGATGTCAACTTACACTCATTGATCAAGGAGGGTAGAAGCCATTATTTTTATGGTGCTCCAGAAGGATACATTTCCAGGATCAAAGAACAGTATGATGGGCCTCTTTTAATAATAATTTATTATCTTCCTATCTAATAAAGACTCTCCAAGACTTCATAGTATACGCCATCAGACTCGAAGGATTGCTGTTAATGAGTGCATTTTTATATTTCTTTCACAAGGAACAATCCCACTGACCCAAACAGGAATCTGAGCTAACTAGAGGCTAGTTAGTGAAATGACATGAAGTATTCTCAAATGAGGCATCCTTCCTGTTCCTTTTTAAACATTTTCAGAAGAGACATGAAGGGTTATGAAGAACTGCATGAGTTTGGAGAGAACATTTTCAGTTTTTGTGAGCATCTTTTCTCACTCGAAAAAGGAGCAATTCACTGTTTTTCAAAATATAGCAGTTGATGTCCAAGATGCAAGGTTTCTGCCCTTTTGGCTTTATTTTGTGTCAGTTATAGCTCAGGCACTTTGCAGCATATTTTAGGAGGGGCTATGCACTTGCGGACCATGTTCAAGATAATACAGAGTCAAAGTCTGCATTAGATGTAGGAGAAGTAAAGGCTTTCAATGTAAAAATAGTTCCATGCTAAAAAAAAAAAAAAGAAAAAGGAGAGAGATTTCGGTATAAACTTCAAAAAACAATATGCCACAACAAAATGCAGAAAACAATTAAACAATTGTGATAATGAGATATCTGGAATCATGTGAAAGTGAATAATAAAGGGTAGGTTCCAGGCAAATTGATGGGAGGGTTTAGGTGACTTACGTATCACAAAGGTTGGCCTTGTATGCAGAAAATGCACAGATTAATTAAAACTAACACTGTGAAATGCCACAAAGCATTGAATGTTCACATTGGCTTGTAAATGGTAGTGCTACGTCCACTCACATTTATTTTGCTCCAAAAACTGACAATACTTTAGCAGAAGATAGGAAATTCAATATCTCACTGTGTGTTTTGGCTTTCCACCCTTCACTGTGAATAAATTAATGGTAGTTAATTTGTAGTAGTGGTGGAAAATTGGTTTTTAATCATGAGATGCCCAGAGAAAAATGGCAAATTTTAAGGGCCTTGGGTGTCACCTATTACTTAGGCACAGAAGCTAAGGAATCAGTGCAGCATGAAATGTCTCAACCAACTAACTACAGTGCTGTGGATAGCTTCCTCCTCAGTACTGGATGCAGTTGAAGCGCAGTAAAAGGATATGGTGTATTTTTCTTTTGCTTGTAAGGGGGTCTTGTCTGGTCTTCTCGGGTGGTTTGTGTCTCTCCCGTGTCAGTGAGAGTTAAATGTAGGTAAAAAGCTGTAAATACTACAGGAAAAAAATATCTTTTGTCTGTCCCCAGTGCATGTTCTGTAGCAGTTGTCTTTCCAGGCACACAGGCAGTGTTGAGATGTGAAAAGGATTAAACATGGCACGGAATATGCAAACAAGCTGTAGAAAGATATTTCAGAGGAGGGCTCCAAACACTGGATTGCTCAATCCACCTGCCATAACTTATTTTCAGGATATTTGGCACAGCTCCCATTCTCAAGCCTTATTTTTTTCTTTCTTTTCTTCTTTCTTCTTGCCTGCCTCAAAGAAGTATGTTTCTGACATCTGGCCATCAGGAAAAGTTTTCATCTGGTTTGACTCTCCAGTCTGTGGCTGAGTTTTCATTTATCTAGCTGAAAAATCTGGTTTATAATCCAGGCCATCTCTGTAAGGAAGAAAAAATCATTCCCCAGGCACTATGTAGAGCTAAATTATGCTAAGGGGAATAGTTCTTTTAGGTGTTGCCTACAGTGAATTGGTGAAAATGACCAGTTGATACTAACCACATACAAGCAGCATTGGTACTGTAATTGATTAATGTGGGAAAGTCTGTTTCCTTAAATAAACTGCTCCCCACAGTCCTAAGAAATTAATAACTTCAAGAAATGCAGCAGTGTTTGCAAATGTTGTTAGCTTTTCTTTCATTGTATGAGACATTTTTCTGTATAAGATTGAAATAAATAATATGAGTCAACTTAACCTTTTCAAGTGTCAGTGTGGTTTGACTCTGAAAAGCAGTTGGGTGAGTGTTGTGATTTCACAGTGGATGTGCATTATGCCTTAATGGTAAAATACCATGCTACTTTTATTCTTTCTTTTATAAAAATACAACAAGAGATAAAAAAATATAATAATAATAAAAAAAAAACCAAACAAAGAGAAAAAACAAGCTTAGCGCATTGCTTAGAAAAATAAAAATAACTCCCTTACTCCCAAACTAGCTTTGGTGTATGCTCTAATTCATGTACAGTAATATTTCACATTCACTGAGAATCAGAAGTCTTTGGTTAACTATCATAAAACCTCAGACTAACTGTTCTAAACCTATCCCTCAGTCTTATGTAGCAAGGCTATTTCCAGGCTAACCTTGTTTGATTTGCTTCAGTGCCTTCTTGAATAAATTCAGTCCCTTTAGCACTTCCACGAGCAGAAAATGCTGAAATTCAATTTAAGTACAGCTTGAGTTCTGTCACTGAAGCAAGGTATTTTGAGTGTGGCCTTTGAAAAGGAAATGTTTTCTGTGTCTACTCATGAGTTTCACGGGTATCTTTCTCCTGGGAATATCTAAAACTAAAAAACACTTTCCTGCCTTTTCAAATTGACATTTACTCCCTCTAACCCGTCCATAGGGCCACTTGACATTGATCTGGCTGACATGGTCCTGCCAGAGAATAAACTTTCCCTTCTGTTTTCCAAGCTGTCGCTGAGCAGTACCATAGGGCGAAACAATTGCATGAATTTCTGGTAAAATTCTTTCGATGCAAAATAATAAATGAAGGGATCTAAGCAGTTGTTGAAGCAACTGAGGCACAAGGTGAGCTTGTAGGCAGGGTACAAACTGCTGCTGTAAAATAGGCGGCTGATCATATGTGCAAGTAGGATAAAGTTATTGGGGGCGAAGCAAGTGATGAAGGACAGAAGGACAATTGTCGCCAGGTATATGGATCTAGTCTTTTGCTTATTACCATATCTGCTTGATGTCTGAATTAGCTTCCTAATGATACCAATGTAGCATCCAACTGTTACAACAAAAGGGATCAGGAACAGCACAACAAATAAAGTGAGGAGAAAGGCTACCCAAGCTCCAAAGGTGGGCAGCATATCCCATTTTAGGACATCAAAACAGGTTATAATCCCTAATTCTTTCACTTCATAGGTCAAGTCTGCAGTTTCTAGTGGGTAGAAGGCTAGTAGCAAGGAAAACCACATAGCTAGGCAGGCAGCCAAGGCATATCTTTTTCTTCTCCACTTGCTCAACTTCAAGGGGTGTACCACACCCATGTACCGCTCCATGCTGATAAAGGTCATGGTCAGTATGGAAGAATACATGTTCGAATAGAACATCACTGTCACAAGGCTGCAAAGAGTCTTGCCAAATCTCCAGTGATTGCTTTGGAGGTGATAAGAAATCTGGAAGGGGAAACAGCTGACCAGCATAAGGTCTGTGATGCTTAAGTTGATCATGAAGATAACAGAAGGTGTTTTCGGTTTGATGTGCCAACAGAGCACCCAAAGGGAGAACAAGTTTCCAGGGATGCTGACCAGAGCCACCACTGTATACACAATTGGGAGGGTGAAGGAGACTGTCTTATTCTGGAGCATTGCTAGCGTCAAAGCGTCCAGGTGGGATTCGTTTTTAACCATTATTCACAAGTAGGTTGTTGATCCCTGTAACCAGCTGGATCATATCATGAACACTTGGCTTGAAAACCTAGAGGAGAAATGTCAAGTGAAGAAAACAATATGTCAAAACAGAAATTAGGGACATAAATCACAGATCAAAGATCATAAATCATATATTAATCAACTAAAAAGATCCTTTCATTTGACAGCTTTTCCTTGAGTGCACTGAATCCATTAAAATTACTTTCTGAAAAGTCTTGCCTCCCTCCAAATCGTCATAATGTTTTACCAGAGTGACATCTTCCTATCTTGGAGCAGCTACCTTTTCTCTGCTGAATGGTTTTCTGATACTTAGACTCATAGAATCATTAAACTTGAAAAAGACATCCAAGTTCATGGCACCTTTGAGCAAACACCACCATGTCAATTAAATCATAGCACTGATTATTGTTAACCAGCACCCCTGGGTTCTTTTCCACTGGGCAGCTTCCCAGCCACTCTGCCCCAGTCCTGTAGTGCTGCACGGGGTTCTTGTGGCCCAAGTGCAGGACTTGGCGTTTTGCTTTATTGAACCTCACACCATTGACCTTGGCCCATCAATCCCTTCTGTCCAGATTGCTCTGTAGTCTATTCATTTTCACACCTCCTGTGTTACTGTAACATAAGAAAATCACATATCACAAGTTGAAATTCAGTCGATGTCTGTGTGGAAACACTAGTCCATAGATTCTTCTTGAGCTAAATCCATTGTATACTCTAGATGTCATAACCTTGATTTCTGTGGTGCACAATATCTTCTGATGTTTTTCCCCTGCCAACTAAACTGTGATCCATTTCAAGTAAGAGCTGGCTTTTATTTTTTTTTTTTAATTTTTTTAAATTTTTTTTTTAACTTAGAAAAAGGAGAACATGCATTCAATGACTCTTGCTATATTGTAATATAAACAGAATATAAGAAAAGAAACATGAGAACCATGGAAAACTGCACTTGCTTGGACTGGTTTACAGGCTGGAGAAACCCTCTTCTACCAAGAAGAAAAAATGATTGATCTTCAGTTTCTGCAAAATGTAAGTTATTTAAAAATATTCTGTTTGTAGCTGTCTGTAATTCTGCAAAATTACTTTCAGTTTTGCAGTCTGCAAAGTGGACCCATGCTTTCACTGTCTGCTTTTCATAGATCTTTCTTGGCAGATGCAATAGCTCATAGTTTAGTGGGTTTATTTTAAGCAGCATTCAGCAGCTGCAGGAAAGAACCCACACCTCACTGCTTGCTTTCGTTAAGCTGCAAGTACAGGGAGGCAATTTCGCAAAAGTACAGCATTGAGAAAGTGAAGAAATGGCAAAAAATGCCCAGAAAGACAGAGGGTAGATCTGCAGAATGTTCTGGGCAGAATTACAATAAGGGCTGAAGAGGTGCCAGGCCAAGTCCACCAAAAACTGTGGACACATCTCTACTGCTTAATTACAGGTAGAAAGTGGGTTCAGGCACACTCCTGCTTGTGGACTCTCATCACCTACATGGTTTATTCCAAGTATCTTGTTGCAAGGCAGCCCTGCTGTAGGAGGTTAGATTAGAAAACACATGTGCCATTTGGTGTCACTTAACCTAGTATCTTGTTTAAAAAGAGCTTTAGTTTCTGTGGTCATGTGTAACCGGTCAGTTCCTCAAACTCTGTAGCTGGAAATAACCATTCTGACAAAAAACTGTACTTTCTGAGAGAGGCTTTTACTGAAAAACTTGTTCTCTGAGCCATTGATGATTCCTGAGACCCAGCAAATGTGAAGTCTCTACTGGAGGCTGGCTGCAGTGCAGTAAAGAGATAATCAACTGAGAAAAACCCGAGTGCAGATCCAGAAAAAGGGATCTCAGTGGGGGCTTACTGAGGTTCTTTCTTGATCTGATATATTTTACATAGTGCTTCAAATGTCAGCTAAAAATATCCAGAAGTGGTGAGAGTCAGTATCAAGAAAATTGTATTGATTAATGTTGCTTCCAGCTAAGTTGTTGGAATCCTAGATAAAGGAACAAGAAAATTGAAATTGCAAAGAAATCAGAGATGTACATATATCATGCACATCACACAGAGCAAGCATGTTTCAAGTACTGAAGTGATCATCAGATGGGCACAATCACAAAAAGCCCTTTGAGCCAAATTTGTTGCAAATGAAATTAAGTTCTTGTCAGGGGAGTTCTGTCAAGAATGAAACTAATTCTTCATTTTTCAGGCTAACTTGAAAAAGCACTCATACAACTCTTGGAAAAAAGCCTTAATGCTCCCTATTTCAACTGATCAGTCTGTGACTTAGCATAGCAAATGTTTATTCATGAAGTCTCTTGCCTCAAAAATCTTGCTCAAGTAGCATCCCTTTGTGCCTAACAACTCTATACTTCTCAAAACAAACAGAAAACTGTTCTCTGTATCAGAGTTACTACAGAGCTCTAATAATATACCTTTGCAAGTGAAAGATATTTGCTATCACAGGTCCCTAGATGCTATTCCTATAGAAATTACAGGTACTTTGGAAGGTAGGAATATAGGTGAGAATTTCCATTAAATCTATCACACTGGTCATAAAGCTATCTAATATGTCTCATATTTTGGTTTGTGTTAGAGTTAATCTCAAACGTATTTTCTTCTGTACTTGTTTTTTCTGAGAGGATATCTTGATAAGGAGATAAAAAAATGCATGCCTAGGTGCCGCCACATGCAAAACAGTGTCAGCATTCACAGCCTGACTGAAGGCAAATTTTATGCACTTGTGGAATGCTACTGTCCGTAAAACAAAAGTGCCTCCAAATGCAGTCACCTCTTGAATTGGAGTTGAAAGACAGCAGACTTACTGATTACATGCCTGCAAGAGCTTTCCAAAAAGGGTAGGACTCCTTGATATTGGTTTCAGTAATGCAGACGTTCATCACAATGACCAGAAGAATGATGGGTGGTTCATTTAGAGTCTTTTGCAGGGGAGAAGGGGGCGTGCAAAGCACACAAGACTGATGTTGTGTGTCATTCGTGAGGGCAAATAGCCTCTTGAGGAAATGTGGAGTACAGAAAATCCTCCTCCCAGTTTCATCTTTCCTGTTGCCAGATTCTCTGACACTAATCCTGAATTTCTTGTCAGGAAAATCTGGACTAGAAGAAATTCCTGCTCTGACTCACCCTTACTTGTAATGATTTGCTTTTTAAAAGCCCAGGTGTGTGGGGCTTGGCTGGGATATAGTTAATTTTCTTCACAGTGCTGGCATAAGATTATTTTTTGGATTTGTGCTGAACACAAAGTTGACAATAGAGAGATATTTTTGCTACCAGTGAGCTGGGCTTACACAGAGCTTTTTGTAGTGCCACACTAGCAAGGAAGTTGGGGCTACACGAGAGGCTAGGAGGAGACACAGACAGGTAGCCCAAAGTGACCAAACAGATTTTCCATACCTGTAACATCATTACCTTTATATAAAGGAGAGGGAAGAAGGAGGAAGGGGGGAACATTTGGAGTTATGGTGTTTGTCTTCCCAAGTAACCCTTTCATGTGATGGGGCCCTGCTTTCCTGGAGATGGCTGAACACCTGTCAGCCCATGAGAAACAGCAAATAATTTCCTTGTTTTGCTTTACTTGTGTGCTTTTGCTTTCCTTATTAAATTGTCTCAACCCACATTTTTTTTCCTCTTACCCTTTCAAATATCTCTCCAATCCTGCCTAGTGGGGGAGGTGAGCAAGCAACTGTGTTGGGCTTGGCTGCTGGCTAGGCTGAAGCCATGACAGCAGGTTAAGCTGCTGGAACCACAATGTACCACTCCCATTACTGCTTCTGTTGGGGTTTAGTTAATGCTGTGTTTACATTTTCATCTTTTTCATGTCCTTCCCCCACTGCATCCGCAGTCTCTGTCTGTCTCTTGTGGTTTAATTTGTAAATGTAATACCTCAAGAGAGAAAAGAATCCCTCTTAAGAGGTTTAAAATTAGATTCCTCTTAAATTTTATGAGCTTTTTCCTTCCAACTTCAGCTTTCCAAAAAAATTCAAATCAGTGAAGCTTGCACAGATTTTAAAACATCCACAGTAAGTTATAGTTTCATATGCATAATTTAAAAAATATAATTCTGTTACATACATTTCTGTAAATATTAAACCCGTTGAAAATACATGGGTTTGCTTTCATTATGGAGATCCTATATTTGAAATATGACAGACCAATGGATGTACAGAGCGATTGAAACAAAATCTAAATAAGGATTTTTCAAGTGACATGATCCAGTCTTACTGACATTTACATCAATCCTCAAGCTTGTGACATAGTAGGAGAAATGTTAAGCTTTTCTGCTTGCTTGATTTCTGAAACATTTAGTAGATGGATGTATATTAGTCTTATATTAAGTACTAAGCCTCTGGAGTAATACTCACTAAATCCATGTAGGATTTTTTTTTTTTTTTTGCTGTTTTTTGTACTCACTGGCTCATGTCACTCTGCACAGAAAACTCACTTGGAAATTCAGTAGCATCAGGTTTTCATCCAAGCTGCAACCATAAGCTAATGTGACAACTGCTTAATGCTTTTCTGACAGGAATAGGGATTTCTTTCCCTTCAATTGACAAAACATGAATAAAATATTAAAGGATGTACTGAAAATCAAACAGTAAAAAATCACAAGATATCTGTGATATTTCTTTTTTGTGAAAGAGGAACAGTCTCTAATTTTAGAGAACTGCTAAACTAAGCTGATGTGATTTCTCTCTTACATCTATTATCTTCCTGTTGTCAGTGTCAAGTGCACCTGTGAAAAAGACTGAAAAGCCCTTGAGCGAAGTCAAAGTGAAAATTGCCAATTTATAAAAAAATTGAGATTTGCTTTGTGTTTTGAGATTAAAAAATAACTTTAAAATTATATCAAGCAGCAGAAAGCCTTTCAAAACCTATTGTGTTTCATAATTTTTGGTTCACAACCTGTCAAAGCACTATTGCATAGTTTAAAAAGTTTTTATTTCATAACTTCTTTGATATTGTTACACTTTTAGAAAGACATCCTTCTAGCTGAAAAATGTAGGATGGCATGTTTCAGATTACAGGAAAAACAAGCTGAAATGCAATTTC